TTCTGGAACACCATCCTCACTCTCCAAACCCCGAATCCCATCCTGAATGTCTTGCGACTCTGTTTCCTTTAGACCCACCGGCCCCATCTCTCCCGTGGAGCCACAGAGCTGTCACGGGCGGATGAGAAGGGCTGCTCGCGTCTTTCCCGCCCCGCGCCGACACGCATGCGCTGTGCAGACGTGCTGCTTGGCCACGCCCGTCACCAGGGCTTAATTTCGGGTGGGGCTTCTATTGCGCATGCTCAGACATCCTGCTAGGGCTTATTTCATGGGTAGGTCTTATTTTCCGGGCAACAGGTAGAGTCTCATAAAGAGCCGCAACCCGGGTCCCGCGCATGCGCAGTTTGCAGTGGGTGGCGCTCCTGAGCGAGGGCAGAGCCGCCGACCTGACAGGAGGGGAGCTTACTCGCTGCTGCCGGCGGAGAGCGGCTGTGAAAGCCAGGCAAGCTTCGCTCACCGGCTGTGCCACTCGGTTCCTAACAGGCCGGCACTGCCCCAGCCTGGGGGTTGGGGACCACAGCTCTAGCGGACCGAGCCACTGTCGGCCTCGGCGCCTTTGCACCCGCGGTTGCCCCGCCTGCCTTTCTGCCCCTGCACCGGGCCGGGACGAGACACTACTGTGCCGGCGTGCCCGGAAGGAGGCGCGGGGAAGGGCACAACCCAGGCAAAGGCGGGAGGCGGAGCCCAGCCCACAAGACCTAGGGCAATGGCACCTGCCACCAGGAGCTCCACGGGGTCGCTGAGGTCCGACTCGAAGCGGTTGGGCCACCAGGAGCGGTAGCGGCAGCTGTAGTTGCCGGCGTGCTGGGGCCCCACGTAGGTCAGCACTAAGTCCGTTGAGGACTGGGTGGCCGAGATCCGGTCCAGATGAGCTGCCTCCGTGTCTCCCACGCGCAGCAACTCCACGGTGACGTCGGGCAGGTGGCCTTCGCAGCGCAGGACGGCATCGCGGCCCGGGGTCACCGGCCCGCTCCACAGGGCGCGCAGCCGGGGCCTGGGAGGCGGTCCTGGGCGGGCCAGGGGGCACCGGGTGAGGCCCCGCCCCAGCCCGCCTCACCTGCCCGGCGCCCTCCACACCTCCAGGCCGGGCCCCAGCCGCGCCGGGCGGCTTTCCTGCGCCCGCTCCGGTCGGCCCGCGCAGCCTCTGCGCCTCCCGCGTCCGAGCCGCGCTGCCCGGACTCTGCGCGTCCCCGAGCCAGGTGCTCTGAGGCCTCTTGGGGTCCCCTCCGGGCACTCAGGACACGCGCAGGGAAGGGGGAAATGACCAAGGGAAACGGCGTTCCTTGTAGAGGGCACGGCCCAAAATGCTGGCGGCGGAACCTGTGCCCAGCGGCTCTGCGTGGCCCTGGCCCCATGGAGACCGCGATGAGGAAATTATAAGAACAGACAGACCCCAGGGGCGGCGAGGGGGGGAGAATTACACGTGACCTTCGGCTGTGGGTCAGGGGCCCAGGGAGGGGCAGGGTGATAGTCCAATATGACAACTGACGGAGTGTAGCACAGGGAAACTGAGCCACACGCAGGCGCAAAGCTGGCAGGAATGCGAGCGGGAGAACCCGGCCTGTCCCGCACGCCCTCCGCCTGGCTCACGTCTGTGCGAAACGTGCCGAAGGGTCGCGGGACCCTCGGGCGCCGCCCCCAGCCCCGTCCGGCCCTCCCTGCAGGCGTGGGCGCTGTCGCTGGGCCCCGGAGGGAAGGCGGGCGCCGTCGTGGGCGGGGGCGGAGCGGCCTGAGGGACGCGGCCCTCGCGCGCTCACCGGGCACCCGCAGCTCCACGCGCGCGCTGGGCGCCGAGCCCGAGAACGGCGGCTCCGGGTCCACGTAGACGCAGCTGTAGTTGGCCGAGTCCGCCACCGAGACGCTGCGCAGCTCGAACTGGGCTTCGGCCCCCGCGGGGCTCAGCAGGCTGCGCACCCGGCGCCCGCCCTCGTCCTCGCGCACCAGCGCGAAGCGCAGCCCGACCAGGGGCGCCTGGCACCGCAGCCGCACGAGTGTGCCGGGCTCTGGGCTGCGGCCCGCCGGCTCGGCCGAGAGCCTGGGCGGGGGCAGCTTCTCTGTGGAGGAGGGTGAGGGCTGAGTTAGGGCGCCAAGCGTGGTCCGGCCTCTCGGCCTTTGCCCGGCCTGAGTCTTCTGCCTGCAGTGACCTGCCCGGCTCCCTCCGTCGCTTCCTCAAGGAGGCCCGCCGGGACCACCCTGCTGAAACCGCACCACCTGCCCGGCCCCCAGTCCCTGGTCCTCCCTAGGTCTCTCTCACACATCCCTTCACTGTTTCTTATTAATTTGTTTATCTATAAAAACACTCGGCGCAGGGGAAAACGTTTTGTCCATGGCTTGGTGCCTCCTACACATGGCTGTTCAAGAGTGGATTCGAGGCCTGGCATGGTGGCTCACGCCTGTAATCCTAGCACTCTGGGAGGCCAAGGCGGGCAGATCGTTCAAGGTCAGGAGTTCGTGACCAGCCTGAGCAAGAGCGAGACCCCATCTCTATTAAAAATAGAAAGAAATTAATTGGCCAACAAAAAGATATAGAAAAAAATTAGCCGGGCATGGTGGCGCATGCCTGTAGTCCCAGCTACTCGGGAGGCTGAGGCAGGAGGATTGCTTGAGCCCAGGAGTCTGAGGTTGCTGTGAGCTAGGCTGACGCCACGGCACTCTAACCTGAGCAACAGAGCAAGACTCTTACTCAAAAAAAAAAAAAAAAAAGGGTGGATTCAGGTGCACACCGTGGAGGGATGGACACACTTGAAGCTCTGACTCAGGTGGGGCAAGGGCAATATATGTAACCTAAACATTTGTATCCCCATAATATGGTGAAATAAAAAAAAAACAGTGGATTCACCCCACGATTGTGTCTGCCGGGCACCGCCGCAAGGCCCACGCACCTGGGGCACCTGTGAACTTGCTGGTCGTGGGGCTCGCAGTCCAGTGCTCAGTCAGGGTTTGCCAAATATCACTGAGCCCGAGGCTAGCGGTTGGAGGAGCAGCGCAGCCTGGCCGCTTGGGCAGGCCTCAGCGCCACTCAGGCCTGGGGAGCCCAAGGGGACTCCGGGCAGACGGCGCCCATGTGGCCTGTGCCAGACCCAAAGAACTCATTGTTCACTAGGCCTCAGGTTGCCATGCTCATCGCCCCATTCGCAGTGGAGGAAACTGAGGCGGGGCCGGGGGATGAGTTGGGTCTGGCTCCCGCCCTGCACTTGCGGAGACCCTACACCGGGCCCTGCTCCTGAGCCCCGGGATGGAGCACTCTCCACCCCCAGCCCCGCCCCGTCCTGCGCGGCTGCCGGCTCACCGTCGCTCAGGGTCAGCTCCACTGGAGTGCTGTCGCCGGACCAGGCGTCCTGCTGGTCGCGCAGCCGGTAGCGGCAGGTGTAGGGGCCGCTGTCCCCCAGGGCCAGGGCAGTCAGATGAAAGAAGACGCGGTCCGGGCTGCTGCTGCTGGAGGGCACCAGCAGCTCCTTCCCGCCCCGCCGCAGCTGGAAGTCCACACCGCTCAGGGGCGCCACGCACAGGAGGGTTGGGCTGTCACCAGGGTGCAGGATCCCAGTGTAGTCACGCTGAGGCCTCAGCACAGGTGGTGGCGGTGGGGCTGCAATGCAGGGAGGAGGGTCACTGCGCTGCCAGAGGCCAGGACAACCCCTGCTGCAAGTTCCCTGCTAGAGCTACCATCTGCCCAGTCTCCAGATCTCTGCCCTCTTGGTGGCTGCCCCAGGAACACCCTTTGAATGCTCCTTTGGGCATCCTCTGCCCAAACTCCTTTGCAACCTCCAGGCCCAGGAAACTGCGTGGCTAGTGCCCTGGACCTGGTCCTGGGCAGGGGTATTCGGGCTGGAGGTCAAGGCCAATGTGGTTTTGGCCTCCGAGATTTTGCTTCCCCAGAAGCCCTCCAAGACCATCCAACAGTCACCGAGTTCCTTGATGGTCACAGCGGCACTCGGCTCCGAGGGGGTGCCTGTTGCAGGGGTCCGGTAGCTGCAGCTGTAGGTGCCAGCCTGGTGGACAGGGAAGGCAGCCTCCACGCCCTCCCTGGCCTTGGCTACCTCCAGAAACTCTTCATCCCCTTCTCGCCTCAGCAGAAAGGTCACACCTTGCAGCCCCCCGTGGCACACCAGGGTCACGTTCAAGCCGGGTGTGATCCAGGACACCGGCTCTGCCGAGAGCCGGGGTCTGGGCAAGGACTCTGCAGGTGGAGCAGGGTCGATGAGTGGCTCAGGAGACGGATGTGAGGGAGAAGGGAGGGAGGGCACGCGTAGGGGAAAGGGAGGCAGGCACAGGCAGAAACAGGGCATGCAGCAAGACGAGGAAGTGTCTGCACAGCCCCCTGGGAATGCAATCATTCATTCCTCAAACCCTCTGGGGTCAGTGCAAACATCATCCCCTTTGACAGATGGGAAAACCGAGGCTGGGAGATGTCAGGGGACTTGGAGGAAGGAAGGACCCCCACAGTCTTACCCCACAGCCTCCTGGCCCCTACAAATGCTCACTTGGCCCTGTCACCTCCATGAGGTTGCTCAGCTGGGTCCATCCCCTCCCCAAGCCGGCACTGCAGCGGTAGAGGCCCTGGGTGCCACCTGTCAGCAGGAACTGGTGCTTGATGGCAGGTGAGTCGAGCTGCACCAGCTCCTGGGACACCCCGTCTTTGAACAGCTGGAAAACCAGGGTGGGCAGGTGGGCCTGGCAGGTCAGCATCACATTGGCCCAGGGTTCCAGCAGCGATTCAGACTCTGCCGACAGGCTGGGCCGGGTCTCAACAACTGTGAGGGGCAGCTGGGATCAGCTGGGTGCTGCAGGGCCGGTGGGGCCACCCCTGGGCCTGCAGCCCCCACCCCAGGCGTTGGCCTGTACTCACACACGGCTGCCTCTGTCACCGGGCCCAGTGTGAGACCTGTGGAGACAGTGCCCATGAGGCCCCCAATGCCACCCCCAACCCCTGCCCCGGGGACCCCAGGCTGCAGACCCCTCACCCCAGAGCAGCAGGAAAGACACCAGTGAGGACATGGTGGTCACGCCGGCTCTAGCTGCTGTGGGCGTCTGCCCGTGATAAAGCCTGCCTGAGACACTGGCCCCGTGCCTTGTTTGTCCTTCCCGGAAGGTGGGGCAGGGCCTGTGAGGGGCAGGGACAAAGGGCAAACCTCCAAGGCCAGCCAGAGCCTCGGGATCCCCAGCGACACTGACAATCAATAACAACAGATAATCATTAACTGAACCAATAGAGCAGTATTGACAGAATGATCATAAGACCACCTCATTCTCAGACAGGCACTGAGACCCTTTCCGCCCCACCCAGAAGCCCGGCTGCGCCCCTCGAGTGATGCCGAGGGTGAGGGCGTCTGGACCATCCCTGCTCCTTCTTGGGGTTGTGGTCCCCGCCACTGCTGGTCAGTGCTGCGCTGTGTGACCCTCTGAGTCAGGTTGCACACAGACCTGTGCTCCCACCCCTGCCAGGACATGTGCTCCAGTGTGGACAGTCACCCGAGCTGCTGGTGTCACTTCCGTGGCTGCAGCCTGCTGCCACTGCCTGGAGGCCGGACCTCCTCCTCCCCCACGGCACCACCTGTGGGGACGGAATTTGGGGATGAGACCCTGGTGCTCTGTGGAGGCCCTGTCACCACCAACCCCAGCCGTCTGGTCTCGACCCTGGTGTCCCAGCCCCAGCTCCCCACCAGAATGAGGACCTGCGGAACCTCTCACTCGCTCAGTCACTCCACAAGCATTAACTGAGCATCAGCTGTGTGCAAGACTCAGGAAGACAGTGGGAACACGTTGACCCAGGCCCTTTCCACATGGAGCCTGGTCTGCCCAAAGAGAGAGAGGGAAGGCAGAGGGGAGGTGCCAGAAAGACACAAATCCGTGACATAGATTTGCTGGGAGGCAGAAGAGCCACATGGCATCCAAGGGTCCGGGAAGCCTTCTTGGGGAGCAGAGACTTAGATGCGGCCAGGACGTTGAGCCCTGCAGATAACTGGGCAGAGGGAATAGCCGGTGCAAAGGCCGGGAGGTGGGACCACAACGAGGGAGCTAGGACAGCAGTGGCAGGGCAGGTAAGGGCCCGAGGGGCAGGAGACGCAGGCACCAACTGCACTGGGCCAGCGGGCACTGCTGAATAGGATGGGAGCTTGGGAGACCCCTGATGTCCCTTCCACATTTGCTGAGCACCAGACCAGAGCCAGCACCTGGAGGGAGGCTGTGTGTTCCAGGCTTTGCAGAAGAGACAACCAAGTGCCAAGGCTTGAAGACGTCACTGAAGGCGTCACCAGGCCTGGCGTTTCTTTTGGTGCGCTCAACACCGCCTCACCGCGCCACCCCTCACTGCAACCCCGCCTCGCTGTGCCTCTGCAGCAGCTCTCGGGCCACCACCTCCTCCCTCGGGTTCCCCCAGCCCTAGGCATGGTGGCAGCTTCCTGCAAGTGTTAGTCTCTGAGATCCTGGAATGTTCCACTTTTGCTCTCTGAGCCTTGCAAAATAACCTGCACAACCAAGTCCCTAACTTATACCCCGTGTTTGAAATATATAGTGTCATTTCCATTTCCTGACTGGGCCCCAACTGATAGGGCGCTTGCTATCAATCAACAAGGGTCCCAAGAAACAGACCAACGGAGATGAGATTCTGGGATGGATTTGGTTTTCACTTCAGTCCCAAATGCAGTGCCGAGCTCCTTGCCAATAGAATATGGGACACTGGAAATCCACAGTATGTAGTTGCATCCTGTTTGATATCACCTCTGATTGCTTCAGCTCCAGTGTCGACTGAAGTCAGCACCTCAGGCGACCAACTGGCCACTGCACTGGTGACCACGTGGAGTGCGGGGTGGGGTGGTGCTCATGGCTGTGCTGGAGAGCTCATGGAAAGAACGACAAGCTCAGGGCACTAAATCCATAGCTCGAGACACAGAGAACCAGAGAACTTCTAGGCCAGCCCTATTAGAATTTGATTTCTTGCAGCCAAAGAGCAAATATAGCTGAAACTTAGGCACAAACTTAATCGTGTGTATTGCAGAATTACAAACTGCACTGAATTCACAAACTCACCAAATGTCAAAGGTCCTGTGTGAGGAGGGGCCCCTGAGGCTTGGAATGGGGCTGAGCGCATTCAGACGGTGCTGAGAATCTCTAGAACCTGGACCAGAAGCTGAGCTGGCTTGCGCTCACCAAGATAACACACCTGAATCCACAGCTGCAATCAGAATCTCGGTCTAATAACTCACTGTTATCCTCTAGGACCCATCGGTCTGTCTTCTGCACAGGCCAGGCAGTCAAGTAGAATGGGGATGTGGCGAGAATTGCCACCCTGCATCTTTTAAGTCCCTGATGGTGGCACTAATCTCTGTAATTCCCCGGGGGATGTGGTTTTGCTTCTGATTTGTCATCCTGCCACAGAGGGGACATCCTAGGGGCTTCTGCTTGGACCTTCCTACTTTAACAACCCTCACCTATGGGTCAAAGAGCCAATGTAGTGATTCTATCATTTACTGAGAATGTCTCTTCCAATTTTCCACCCTCACGCCAGAGAAATAACCAGAGTAGGTATACACATACAATGAGCCCACAGGAGACCAGCATGGGCCATAAACCCTGCTTTGTCCAGTAAACTGCAGAGACTTTGAGGATTAGCCTCAACTCAGAGTCAGTCTCTCTCAACTCCTAAAAGATCTGGGTATTTCCCCCAACCCTCGCCTCCTGGGAAATGGCAACAGACCTTTGAGGAAGATCTACCATCCTACTGTCTCTTTTTTTTTTTGTGGGGGTGGGATGGGGGTGGGGGGGCAAGGGTCTTGCTATATTGCTACTTGAACTCCTGGGCTCAAGTGATCCACCTGTCTCAGCCTTCTGAGTAGCTGTGACTACAGACACATACCACCATCCCTGGCCTACCATCTATTCTTGTGGTAGGACTGGTTCTTCCTTAAAAGGGGTAAATCTCCTTTCAGTTGAGGGGCGCTGTATCTGGGAACTGACCTAGGTCTAGAAACTGGGTGACATGCTATGAATCTTGCAGTTGCCTTGTAAGGGGCCCCCATTCTCCAACCACCCCTTACTGCCCTAGACCTCTAATGAGTCTGGCATGTTCTAAGTGGACAAGTGTAAAATCTGACCCTTAAGCATACTATTGTACCCCAAAAGAATTGCAAGTTTGTTCGTGTAGTTGGCAAAAACCTGGAGAACAAGTATGAGAATGACATTCCAGGGTACTGTACCAAGGAGGATGCGATGCAACATGGGACTGGATCAAATTTATCTATATGGGACAATTTGATTTACCACGTTAGCTCATGCGGCTGGAAGGATGTCGTTTGTTTGGTAGGTTGGCTAAGACCTGGACTCAATGGAGGCCCAAATTCAATGAGGTTGAATTGCCAGAACTCCCCTGGTATAATTTGGTGAAAGGAATCCAAAAGCTTTGGGATGTAGGAAACGCTGAAGTGTGTTTATCTTGTGCAGTAGCACGCACTCAAGCACGGGAACACGCACACACAGACACAGTCCTGAGGAGGGTATCCTTGTTATAAAAGCGTTGGGGAATGTATCAGTCAGTGGGGCTCCTGCCTCCCTGCAAACCGCTGTAGTGCTGTCCTTGATAGGCCAGTATGGCCCCAGGAGATGCTGTCGTTGAAACGTCCACTCTGATTTCGATGGACACGAAAGACTGGCGTAACAGAGCTCAAATGACAAGGCCTAACTGCCAGAGATGCATTTGCCATCATGGGCAGCAGGAACCAGGAAGTCATCAGAAGGTTTTATTTATTTGTTATTATTTTATAGAGATGGGGTCTTGCTCTTGCTCAGGGTGGTCTCGAACTCCAGAGCTCAAATGATCCTCCTGCTTCATCCTCCCAGTGTGCTGGGATGACAGGCGTGAGCCACCGTGCCCGGCCTCCTCAGAGAGTTTTAGCCTTTAGGAAAGGAGAGGCTGCCTCTGTGGGGAAGGAGGCTCAGGACAACATGCGGGTGTGGGAGCTCCTCACCTCCATAGCTACCCATCTGGCAAACGCTTCTTCTCTACTGATATGAAAGGATCACCAGCACTATCTTCCTTCTGCTTGGCAAGGACAACGGTACACCTTCACAGCTTGCCTCAGGGCTGTCAGTGCAACTTTCCTATTCTCTGTCACTATTTCTGCAGAGATCTCGATCACTCTGACTTCCCACAGACTATCATGCCCCTCCACCACATGGATGACTTAGCTGATTAGATCGAATGCGCACAGCGGCAAGTATGTTAATGACTAAGTCAGATGCATGCCAGGGGCCCTGCTCCACAGTGTAAGTGCCTCCCGGTCTGGAGCCTGCTCCGACAGCAACTCCTACCAACAAGAAAAAGACCAGTTATTGCAACACTCACTATCGACAACTAAAGAAGAGAAACAATTGCTCAGTGGCCCTCTGGATTTTGGATACATCAAGTATGATACTCCAAGGCCGGGCGCGGTCCGGGCGTGGTGGCTCACGCCTGTAATCCTAGCATTCTGGGAGGCCGAGGTGGGCGGATCACTCAACCACCCTGAGCAAGAGAGAGACCCCATCTCTACTAAAAATAGAAATTAATTGGCCAACTAAAAATACATTAAAAAAATACATTAAAAAAAAAACAGGCCGGGCGCGGTGGCTCACGCCTGTAATCCTAGCTCTTGGGAGGCCGAGGCGGGCGGATTGCTCGAGGTCAGGAGTTCAAAACCAGCCTGAGCAAGAGCGAGACCCCGTCTCTACTATAAATAGAAAGAAATTAATTGGCCAACTGATATATATATAAAAAAAAAATTAGCCGGGCATGGTGGCGCATGCCTGTAGTCCCAGCTACTCGGGAGGCTGAGGCAGAAGGATTGCTCGAGCCCAGGAGTTTGAGGTTGCTGTGAGCTAGGCTGACACCACGGCACTCACTCTAGCCTGGACAACAAAGCGAGACTCTGTCTCAAAAAAAAAAAAAAAAAAAAAAAAAAAACAATTATCCAGGCATGGTGGTGCATGCCTGTAGTTCCAGCTACTCGGAAGGCTGAGGCAGGAGGATTGCTTGAGCCCAGGAGTTTGAGGTTGCTGTGAGCTAGGCTGATGCCACGGCAATCTAGCCTGGGCAACACAGTGAGACTCTGTCTCAAAAAAAAAAAAAAAATGTCGGTATTCATTACTGAAAAAAGCATATAATAAACTGGGAATATAAGGAAATATTCTTGATGTGAGAAAGTTTTACAAAATAGCCATAGCAAAATCATTCTGCTCGAGCTTGAGGTGGGCACCCTCTATCATCTCCATGAAACATTGGCCTGCTCCCTAACCAGTGAAATGAAGAAAGAAAATGTATCAAAAATCATTATTTATAGAAAAACCACAGACCCACCACCTTCCAGAAAAGTTCTGTCCAGGGTGCCAGAAAATGCAGGTACCCACCCCTCAAAGAGAACAGTGCTGTGGCTGCAGGCTGGGGCACAGGATGTGGAGACACTTGTCCAGGACCAGGGGAGGGGCTGGCAGCACAGGGCAGCTCAGACTGGGCCTCTGAACTGGCTCTCTATGTTCACAAGGTCTTTCTCAAGTTCCAGGGTGGTTCCAGGATAGGGAATGAGACCTGCTCCTAAGTGAGGGCATGATGCAGGGACTGTGGCAACCTGAGGCCTGGGACATGATGGTGGGCCCAAAAGGAGCCAGAAGTGTTTCCCACTGGGCAGATTTACCCTTTAAAATGGATGCCAGCCACAAGAGTGGAGGAGAGAACTGAGGCAGGATGGAGCGGTGGGGCCGAGAGCTGAGAATAGAGGATTGTCCCCTCCCCTCTCCTCTAGCCTAGGCCTCCTGCCCCCACTGAGGTCCCCAGAGCAAGGCCTCTGACCTCCTGGCCCTTGGCTGGAGACCTGAAGTCCTTGTGTAACCTCAGTTCCAGCTGGGGCAGAGGGAAAGAGGGCAGGAACCTCATGGCCAGCCTCCTTCCCCAAATCTCCGTTTCCCCCTGCTCCTGAGACCAGGGGGCCCACTGGAGCCCTGGTTCTTGCCCATCTCTTTGTGGATGCGCCCCTCCCAAAAGCAAAATTTGCACCTGTGCCTGGTGAACCACTCCCTTGGTCCACAAGCACGCTACACGTGTCCCCAGGCATGCCCTGGGGTCATTGGTGGGGTTGTGTAACAGGGACTGTCTTTCTGGCCGTGACCTTTTGCACCTATCCTCTCTGCTCTACACTCCCAGCATGCACAGCAGCCCCACCTGCATGCAGGCTCAGACGCAGGGCCAGCAGCCAGCAAATTGATGCCCCTGGGAACCCCACCCGCCCGCAGGACCTCGTGCTCAGGGGCCTCGGGAAGTCAGGGCAGATGTGGGGCAGCTCACCTGCGTGGACTTCAGGTACCTGACCAGGTAGGGGCTCAGGCTGAACACCTTGCCACACTCCCCACTGGCAGTCTGGCTCCCAGGGACAGGTGAGGGGCTCGGCACCAGGTGTTCAGGGTCACTTCTGGGCCCAGCCCCATCCCTCCCACAGTCTGCGGGCTCGAGGGTGGCTGAAGCTGCTGACTGTACCCAGCCCCTCAGGGACTTTCCAGGACCTTCCCAGGATGCCCAGTCCCCAGAGCGGCCCTTGGCCTTCCTCTGGAGTCACCTGCAGGTCCACGGTGCTGGACACTCCACCTCGCCTCTGTGACCTAAAACAGGAGAGAAAGAAGGCAAATGCCTCAGGGAATGCAAAGAACAGAGACAGGCCAGCTTTGGGTTTCAGGAGTGACATGGTGCAGGTGGGCTGGGGTCAGGCCCCCTGACATGGGCAACCCGCACCTCTCCTCCTGATGGCCTTGGATGCTGGAGCCCTCTTCAGCCTGGAGCAGGAAGGCCAGCAGGTGGGGCTGCAGATCCTCGATTTCCGAGGGCAGGCAGCACCTGAGGCCGCCTGGAGCTGACCCCGGCCTGGCACAGGTGTGGACTCCAGATCTGATTGCTGTCTGAGATGGGCCCACCAGGCTGCCACGCATCACTGCCACTGTCCCACAGCTCCCCATGGCCTCCCACTCCCTCCATCCCCATTGCCAGCTCAGCTAGGGACTGTGAGCCAGGGCTTTGGAGAAAGCGCACCCAGCTCCCAGCCCAGTCCCCACTCACCTGGAGTCTAGGCCCGGCAGGCTCCTGCTTCTGTAGCCCTTCCATCGGGGCAGCAGCCTCTTTGGCACTGCCTGGCCGCTGCCTTCGTAGACAGGCCTGGATCTCAGGGGCGTGTGTCCAGGAACTGCTCTAGCACCAGCAGCTCCAAAATCTGCTCCTGGCACTAGCCTCGGGCTACACAGCTGCCGCACAGCTCTTGGAGTTGAGCCAGGGCCCCGTGGGGCCCCCCCTGCCTCCTTGTAGCAAAACCCCTGGAAGCACTGCTCAGGGATCTCAGGGCCAGGCTCAGCCATCATCGGTGCCAGTGGACTGTGAAGAACTGGGGGGCCCAGGGCCAATGCCTTGCTCATTTGGGCGGCCATCATGTCCCTTCCCAGGGAAGGCAGGGCAGCTGCATGGCCCAGGGTACTTCCTCTGGAGAAGGAAACACAAAGGTGAGCCTGTGAGCATAGTGAGTGCAGGAAGTTCCCCACACACACCTGGGGCCATCTAAGAGGAAGCGGGGTTCTTGTATCTGTGTGCCTTCAGGTTAGCAGGGGGTATGTGTTCTTCTGGCCCCAACTGTCAGCAACTTTCCTCACCTGTGTATCCACATGTCTCAGCGACACAATGAGGCACCGTGGGCTCTTGTATTGTACCCTCCCCTTCCGTGCTTTTCCTGAAGGCCCTGCCCTGGCTTCATCTTGGCTCCCTTCATCCTGCACATAGAATGCCCAAGGCAGACATTGGAAACTAGACAGCTGGGGTCAGATTTGACTGGCAGATGGATCCTGTTTGACTACCCCCTCCACAAGTGATTTAAAAAATTTGAGTTAGTTGCCAATATTAAAAAGTAATCAGGCCAAGTATGGTGGCTCACGCCTGTAATGCTAGCACTCTGAGAGGCCAAGGTGGAAAGATCACTTGAGGTCAGGAGTTTGAGACCAGCCTGAGCAAGAACGAGACCCCTCGCTACAATCAGGTGGTAGCAGTGGTACACGCCTGTAGTCCCAGCTACTTGGGAGGCTGAGGCAGGAGGATTCTGTGAGCCCAGGAGTTTGAGGTTGCTGTGAAATAAGCTGATGCCACAGCACTCTGGCCCGGGTGACAGAGCAAGACTCTGTCTCAAAAAGTAATAAATAAATAAGAAAATTAAAAGCAATTATGGCTGGGCGCGGTGGCTCACACCTGTAATCCTAGCATTCTGGGAGGCCGAGGTGGGCGCATCGCTCAAGGTTAGGAGTTCAAAACCAGCCTGAGCAAAGAGCGAGACCCTGTCTCTAATAAAAATTCAAAGAAATTAATTGACCAACTAAAAATATATAGGAAAAAAAAAATTAGCCGGGCATGGTGGCGCATGCCTGTAGTCCCAGCTACTCGGGAGGCTGAGGCAGAAGGATTGCTCGAGCCCAGGAGTTTGAGGTTGCTGTGAGCTAGGCTGACACCATGGCACTCACTCTAGCCTGGACAACAAAGCGAGACTCTGTCTCAAAAAAAAAAAACCAAAAAACATTTTTTTAGAGTTTGGGTTTGTTTTTTGGTTTTTTTGTAGTTCTCTTATGTTTTAATTCCCAGGCCAGTAAAATTTGCTGACCAGAACTTTGTAACTTTCTGTTGCACTAATGCATTCCCTTTTGAGTTTCTTTCTCAGAAATGGGGGAGCCTCCTTACAACCAGGAGATAACTACAAAGACTTATACCACCAGTTTGTCTGGAGAAGACAAAATAAGGGCCACCCCACCACAGATGTGTCTAAGGACCCGCTGAGCAGCCTACTCCCTGCATCCTGCCTACACACAAGGCTGAAAGAATGACCCATATTAACCCCTAGCTCTTTTTTTTTTTTGAGACACAGTCTCTCTTTTGTTGCCCAGGCTAGAGTGAGTGCCATAGTGTCAGCCTAGCTCACAGCAACCTCAAACTCCTGGGCTCAAGCAATCCTCCTGCCTCCCCAGTAGCTGGAACTACAGGCATGTGCCACCATGCCCGGCTAATTTTTTCCTCTATATATTAGTTGGCCGATTAATTTCTTTCTTTTTATAGTAGAGACCAATCTCACTCTTGCTCAGGCTGGTTTCAATCCGCCCCCCTCGCCCTCCCAGAGTGCTAGGATTACAGGCGTGAGCCACCTTGCCTGGCCCCCTAGCTCTTTATACTACTAAAATCCCCATTTGGGAGGAATTTATGCACCATTTTTTGATCATGGGATGTAAGTACTAGCATGATTTCTCAGTACGCTTGCGTGCCCTGCACTCCACCCCCGACATGTAATGATGCTCACTCCCCTCTTGCATTATTCATTTCAACTCCCGAAAAAACCCTGATCCTGTTGGATGGGGAGACTGATTTGAGACAGTCCAGTTCTCCCACCTCCTGGTTGATGCATCCTCCACAATAAATCCTTTCTTCCTTGACAACCTCGTTGTCTCAGTAATTGGCTTTCTGTGCCTCAAGCTACAAACAAAGCCCCTTGGGGGTTCATTAACAAGGGTGGGGCAGGGCTCCCCAGCCATCCAGGGCCTGTGCTGCAGGTTCCCCACCCTTCTAACAAGGCTCCCTGGCGGAGGAGACTGCCCTCGCTGTGGGATAGCGTCCGAACCCCCAAGGTGCTGCCTGTCTGCCCCCACTCCTGCAGCCTCCCCACCATCCTCACAGCCAGCCCGTGTGCCCTTTCTGTGCCTGAACACCTACTCACCACGTGACGGTCAGGTCCTCTCTCTCAACAACCCGCACTCACCTGACGGGACACTCTGTGTGTTTCCCCCCACCCCCAAGGCCCAGGCTGGACGACCAAACGCGGGTTGGACACTGGACAGGGGTTGCCTGGCAGGGGCTGCGGGCAGGCAGCGCGAAGCCCCAGCTGGGAATCGGAGGCGGAACCGGCTGGGCAAGCTCAGGGGCCGTGCGCGGGCGGCCTGGGGCACTTAGTGCGGAACCACAAAGCCAGAGGAGTGATGAACGAGTGGAAGAACAACTGGCAGGAGGAAGGGCTGCTGTTACGGGAGCGAACGAGGCTCACGAAGAGCAAGCTGCGGAGCAGAGCGTACAGATGGACACAGAGACTCACACTACTACTTTCCTGCCCGACCCCGTCACCTCTGGCCTACGCTGAGCCACTTCCGGGCCGCTCTGGGCGGCGTGGAGGCCAAGCTCTCGGTGGCCCCTGAAAGTCTCCCGCCCTGCCCCGCGCGGCGGAGGTGGCGGGAGTCGCAGAGCGGGTCCGAGCTGGCTGTGTGGAGGCCATCCAGCCGGCTCGCTGTCCTCAGCCCGCCTCGGCGTTCCCTGGCCTCTCCCCAGAGAGGCCAGCACCGGCGCCCAGGCCGTGGGGAATTGAGGGCAGGGAGGTCAGACCTCTGAGGTGGCGCAGGCGCAGTTGCGTCCGGCCCCCGCTGATCTCCCCACTGCGCCTGCGTAGTCGCGGCTCTGTTGCTAGCGCGCGTCTCCTGGTTCCTTGGGGGATGGCGCCACCGCCCGCTATTCTGGCGTCAAGCGTCGCCGTGGATACGCCCCGCCCCTTCCTCTGCCGGGCTCAGGCCCTGACTCTACCACCCAGGGAGCGGTCCATGCACGCACAAAGACTGTCGGGTCGTCGGGGTGGCGGGCGCGGGCTGGGTGGTCGCGCGCTTCTCGTCCCGCGCGTTCGTCTCCCGCGTGTCTCGCTCAGTAGGCGCAGCTCCCACCCCCAGCCCAGGTGGCTCGGACAGCTGAGGGCACATGACCTAGACAATGACATGTGACCACCTTGGGCCTGGGAGTGGCCGGGCCTGGGGATTCGGTCTGAACTGTCAGCGCCTGTATTTCCCTCGAACTTGAAGCTGTGAACACCTGCCCCTGGGGCAGCTGCAGTCTTCTTGCCCCCAGGAGGAAAGAACCTGTTAGATAATGGAGTCCACATAGAAAAGCAGAACTGAAGAATAGTGTGTTAGTTTCCTGTGGTTGTGTAGCAAATTATCACAAATTTTGGTGGCTTAAAAACGACATAAATTTATTCTCCTACAGTCCTGGCGACCAGAAATCTGACATCAGTATCAACAGCTGAAATCAAGATGTTGGTGGGGCTGAGCTCCCTCTGGTGGCTCTAAGGGAGCATCTATCTCCTTGTCTTTTCCAGCATCTATAGCTGCATTCCTTGTATTCGCTTATGGTCCTTTTCCCCATCTTCAAAGGACTGGTAACCTCGTAGTGTTTCTCTTATCAATTTAACATCTTTTTGTTTCTTAGAGGCAGAGTCTTGCTGTGTTGCCCAGGCTGGTCTCAAACTCCTGGCCTCATGCAGTCCTCCCACCTCAGCCTCCAGAGTGACTGGGATTACAGACTTGAGCACAGCATGGCCACCTCCTAAATTGACATCTTTAACATATGCTCATTTTACCAAATTTGCATGAGAGCCATGATTTTAGCGTTAAAATTTTTTCCTTAACAGCATCTCAGTGGCTTGACATGACAGGTTTATTTCTATTTACTTATTTATTTTTGAGACAGAGTCTCACTCTGTTGCCCAGGCTAGAGTGCCGTGGTGTCAGCCTAGCTCACAGCAACCTCAAACTCCTGGGCTCAAGTGATCCTTCTGCCTCGGCCTCCAAAGTAGCTGGGACTACAGGCATGTGCCACCATGCCCAGCTAATTGTTTCTGTATATTTTTAGTTGTCCAGCTAATTTCTTTCTATTTTTAATAGAGATGGGGTCTTGCTCTTGCTTGGGCTGGTCTCGAACTCCTGAGCTCAAACGATTGGCCCGCCTCGGCCTCCCAGAGCCTCGCCGACAGGTTTATTTTTTGCTCATGTCACAGACTGAAGTGGGTCAAGTGGCCCTCCTGGAAGGCTGTTCCCCAAACTATAACTCAGGACCTAGACTCCTTTTATCTTGCGTCTCCACCATTTTTTATGGCCTCCTGGAATCTTCTGCTGAATCTCTTCTCTTCAGTTTGCTGATCGGTGAGAAAGTGGTATATGACGAATAAAGTCTATCACTTCTGTCCACATTCCATTAGCCAGAAGCCAGTCCCAAGGTCCAATGTAACTTCAAAAGTAAGAGGAAAATGCAGGTTCCCTATCACATAACAGAAACACTGTGCTAGCCTGGAGTGCTCAGCAAAATTGTTACAAAGTAGACTAGGCAGGTAACAAGATAACTACTGGGGGAGGGAGGAGTGCCCAGCACTTTCCTGGGTGCCTCAGCACTTTCTTGCCATGAAACGGTGCTCAAAGTGGCCCTGACTGCTTTAGAACTGCTTTGGTTGTCCTATACTGCCCTTTAGCTAATTATAATACTAAAATCCCCACCTAGTGAAATATTGTAATATCTTTAACATAACATGGGTTGCATGACGGCTATCATGATGGTACTGCATGATTTCTTTCACTGGAACAAGCAAAGATACCTTGTAAAAACTTTGCACTACTCACTGGGAAGAGATTTATTTATTTATTTTTAATTTTTATTTATTTATTTATTTTGAGACAGAGTCTCGCTTTGTTGCCTAGGCTAGAGTGAGTGCCGTGGCGTCAGCCTAGCTCACAGCAACCTCCAACTCCTGGGCTCAAGCCACACGTGAGCACTCTTGTCTCAAAAAAAAAAAAAAAATGTCGGTATCCATACTGAAAAAAGCATATAATAAACTGGATATAAGGAAATATTCTTGATGTGAGAAAGTTTTACAAAATAGCCATAGCAAAATCATTCTGCTCGAGCTGAGGTGGGCACCCTCTATCATCTCCATGAAACATGGCCTGCTCCTACCAGTGAAATGAAGAAAGAAATGTATCAAAATCATTATTTATAGAAAAACACAGACCCACCACCTTCCAGAAAAGTTCTGTCCAGCGGTGCCAGAAAATGCACGGTACCCACCCCTCAAAATGAGAACAGTGCTGTGGCTGCAGGCTGGGGCACAGGATGTGGAGACACTTGTCCAGGACAGGGGAGGGCTGGCAGACACAGGGCAGCTCAGACTGGGCTTGACTCTGAACTGGCTCTCTATGTTCACAAGGTCTTTCTCAAGTTCCAGGGTGGGTTCAGGATAGGAATGAGACCTGGCTCCTAATGAGGGCATGATGCAGGGACTGTGGCAACCTGAGCCTGGGACATGATGGTGGGCCCAAAAGGAGCCAGAAGTGTTTCCCACTGGGCAGATTTTACCTTAAAATGGATGCCAGCCACAGAGGTGGAGGAGAGAACTGAGGCAGGATGGAGCGGTGGCGGCGCAGAGCTGAGAATAGAGGATTGTCCCCTCCCCTCTCCTCTAGCCTAGGGCCTCCTGCCCCACTGAGGTCCCCAGAGCAAGGCCTCTGACCTCCTGGCCCTTGGCTGGAGACCTGAAGTCCTTGTGTAACCTCAGTTCCAGCTGGGCAGAGGGAAAGAGGGCAGGAACCTCATGGCCAGCCTCCTTCCCCAAATCTCCGTTTCCCCCCTGCTCCTGAGACCAGGGGCCACTGGAGCCCTGGTTCTTGCCCATCTCTTTGTGGATGCGCCCCTCCAAAAGCAAAATTTGCACCTGTGCCTGGTGAACCACTCCCTTGGTCCACAAGCACGCTACACGTGTCCCCAGCATGCCCCGGGGTCATTGGTGGGGTTGTGTAACAGGGACTGTCTTTCTGGCCGTGACCTTTTGCACCTATCCTCTCTGCTCTACACTCCCAGCATGCACAGCAGCCCCACCTGCATGCAGGCTCAGACGCAGGGCCAGCAGCCAGCAAATTGATGCCCCTGGGAACCCCACCCGCCCGCAGGACCTCGTGCTCAGGGCCTCGGGAAGTCAGGGCAGAGTTGGGGCAGCTCACCTGCGTGGACTTCAGTACCTGACCAGGTAGGGGCTCAGCTGAACACCTTGCCACACTTCCCACTGGCAGTCTGGCTCCCAGGACAGGTGAGGGGCTCGGCACCAGGTGTTCAGGTCACTTCTGCCCCAGCCCCATCCCTCCCACAGTCTGCGGCTCGAGGGTGGCTGAGCTGCTGACCGTACCCAGCCCCTCAGGGACTTTCCAGGACCTTCCCAGGATGCCCAGTCCCCAGAGCGGCCCTTGGCCTTCCTCTGGAGTCACCTGCAGTCCACGGTGCTGGACACTCCACCTCGCCTCTGCTGACCTAAAACAGGAGAGAAAGAAGGCAAATGCCTCAGGGAATGCAAGGAACAGAGACAGGCCAGCTTTGGGTTTCAGGAGTGACATGGTGCAGGTTGGCTGGGTCAGGCCCCCTGACATGGGCAACCCGCACCTCTCCTCCTGATGGCCTTGGATGCTGGAGCCCTCTTCAGCCTGGAGCAGGAAGGCCAGCAGGTGGGGCTGCAGATCCTCGATTTCCGAGGGCAGGCAGCACCTGAGGCCGCCTGGAGCTGACCCCGGCCTGGCACAGGTGTGGACTCCAGATCTGATTGCTGTCTGAGATGGGCCCACCAGGCTGCCACGCATCACTGGCCACTTCCACAGCTCCCCATGGCTCCCACTCCCTCCATCCCCATTGCCAGCTCAGCTAGGGACTGTGAGCAGGGCTTTGGAGAAAGCGCACCCAGCTCCCAGCCCAGTCCCCACTCACCTGGAGTCTAGGCCCGGCAGGCTCCTGCTTCTGTAGCCCTTCCATCGGGGCAGCAGCCTCTTTGGCACTGCCTGGCCGCCTGCCTTCGTGACAGGCCTGATCTCAGGGCGGTGTGTCCAGGAACTGCTCTAGCACCAGCAGCCTCCAAAATCTGTCCTGGCACTAGCCTCGGGCTACACAGCTGCCCGCACAGCTCTTGAGTTGAGCCAGGGCCGTGGGGCCCCCCCTGCCTCCTTGTAGCAAACCCCTGGAAGCACTGCTCAGGGATCTCAGGGCCAGGCTCAGCCATCATCGGTGCCAGTGGACTGTGAAGAACTGGGGGCCAGGGCCAATGCCTTGCTCATTTGGGCGGCCATCATGTCCCTTCCCAGGGAAGGCAGGGCAGCTGCATGGCCCAGGGTACTTCCTCTGGAGAAGGAAACACAAAGGTGAGCCTGTGAGCATAGTGAGTGCAGGAAGTTCCCCACACACACCTGGGGCCATCTAAGAGGAAGCGGGGTTCTTGTATCTGTGTGCCTTCAGGTTAGCAGGGGTATGTGTTCTTCTGGCCCAACTGTCAGCAACTTTCCTCACCTGTGTATCCACATGTCTCAGCGACACAATGAGGCACCGTGGGCTCTTGTATTGTACCCTCCCCTTCCGTGCTTTTCCTGAAGGCCTGCCCTGGCTTCATCTTGGCTCCCTTCATCCTGCACATAGAATGCCCAAGGCAGACATTGGAAACTAGACAGCTGGGGTCAGATTTGACTGGCAGATGGATCCTGTTTGACTACCCCCTCCACAAGTGATTTAAAAAATTTGAGTTAGTTGCCAATATTAAAAGTAATCAGCCAAGTATGGTGGCTCACGCCTGTAATGCTAGCACTCTGAGAGGCCAAGGTGGAAAGATCACTTGAGGTCAGGAGTTTGAGACCAGCCTGAGCAAGAACGAGACCCCTCGCTACAATCAGGTGGTAGCAGTGTACACGCCTGTAGTCCCAGCTACTTGGGAGGCTGAGGCAGGAGGATTCTGTGAGCCCAGGAGTTTGAGGTTGCTGTGAAATAAGCTGATGCCACAGCACTCTGGCCCGGGTGACAGAGCAAGACTCTGTCTCAAAAAGTAATAAATAAATAAGAAAATTAAAAGCAATTATGGCTGGGCGCGGTGGCTCACACCTGTAATCCTAGCATTCTGGGAGGCCGAGGTGGGCGCATCGCTCAAGGTTAGGAGTTCAAACCAGCCTGAGCAAAGAGCGAGACCCTGTCTCTAATAAAAATTCAAAGAAATTAATTGACCAACTAAAAATATATAGGAAAAAAAAAATTAGCCGGGCATGGTGGCGCATGCCTGTAGTCCCAGCTACTCAGGAGGCTGAGGCAGAAGGATTGCTTGAGCCCAGAAATTTGAGGTTGTTGTGAGCTAGGCTGACGCCACTGCACTCTAGCCCAGGCAACAGAGTGAGACTCTGTCTCAAAAAAAAAAAAAAAAAGAAATCAGATGCCAGTTGGAATGTAAAAATGGTGGCCAGCCCTATGTGAAAAACGCAATTGGCCATTCCCTACAAAGAGGTTAACCATGGAGCCTATCACATAACTCAGCAATTCCACTCCTAGGTACTTCAAGAAGAAATGAAAATGTGTACACACAGAAAACTTGTCTACTCAAATCATCATAGGGGCAACATTGATACACCAGCCAACAAAAGTGGAAACAAGCTAAATGTCCGATCAACTAATCGAATGAATAAAAATGTGGTCTATAACCACACCAATGGAACATTATTCAGCCATAAAAAAAGTTCTCACAAAGGACAGTGACATTAACCTTGAAAATATGCTAAGTGGAAAAAATCAGAACCAAAATATTGTCTGGTATAGTGATTTCATTTATATAAAATGTCCCAGAATAGGGAAACTATGTAAGAGACAGAAAAGTAGATTATTAGGTTGCCCCAGAAACTACAAGACAAGCCAATAGTACAGTTTA